TTATGCTTACCGTTGAGCATCCGCAGTTGCGTAAAAGTCTTTTCTCCGAATCCTGAACCTTCAGTTTCCTGTAAACTCTTTGAAGTTGCCCATTCGGATCCAGCTTGCCGCTATGTGTGGGAAACACTTTCAAACATTTCGATAAATGAAAAAGCAAATGAAAGGTTGTAGATCCTCAATGGGAGGACAAAGGCCAGGAGGTTGGTTCTGGAATTGGTGGTGGTGGTGGCGGCGGCTTATGCATACGTTGTCCTTGCACTGCTTCGCTGAGATTCACTTTAAAAGCCAAGCCCCAGTCTTTTGGCTTTTGGTACCTGCTTGGCAATGGATGGGCTGCTGCGTGGCTAATGCAGCTCGAATTGTGCGTAAGCTCATCACCTTGACTGTCAAGGAGACACGCTCAAACCACAGCAGCTCTGCAGCCCAAGGTGAAAGCGCTAGAACCGAAGCAAGAACAAATTGTGATTGAAATGATGTCTACGCAACCTTGACTTGCGCAAAGAACACCCCGACTTGCGCATGCGATTTAGCGCAAGGGTCTTTTCAGGCTTGGATATCACAAAAGTAGCCATGATTCACTAACATCAGCTTCTGTTGTTTGTTTCTTGTTTCGCATTGTTTGTTGTTGTTTGAGTAGCGCCAGGAAGCACTTGGCAATTTGGATTCATTATATACACTCTTTGATTTGCTTGCTGAGGCAGCGTGGCGAGGAGGAAGAAGCAAGGCTTGTTGAAAAGGCCATGAATGACATGGAGACTTCTCACAGGAAGGCCCAAGCCCCAGCGCGCATGCACATTGCTGTTCCTGGTTAGCCTTCTAGAGCAGTCATCATTCACATGTGGATGGCAGGGTGCCATGCGCATGCAAAACGATCAAGCTGCTGACAATGCATACCCTCCCAGAAATGATGATGTGCAGACATTGCATTTCAGGTCAAAAAAGATGACAAGCGAGAAGAAGAGACTGGACAGCCGCCTCGAGAACATGTGCGCTCGCATAGTTTGCCCCGCATTGTCCGACGCCAGCATCCTGGTCTTCAAAATTGCTAGGTTGAGCGGGCAAAGAAGAAGCTCCAAGAGAGAAGAGATGAAGAGACGCCTTGATCCAAGCAGACATTTCCTCTTACTTGACATTGAAGACACTCATATCAGGTGGGACAGGCCTGATAGGATCAAAGCGCTCACATTGGGTACGCCCAACAAATGCAAGGCTCGAATTGTTGGGCCAAACATCACTCCGATACATCATTCCATGAAGGCGCCTGTGGTCACTGCGCAGCGGTTCTCTGAACGCCTTGAGCAGCCGTCCTGCCACGTTGAAACTGGGGAACAATGGCCCACTTGATTGGCATGAGATGGGCTGCCTGAGGTGTTGGATTGACATCGAATGGATGTGCAAGATGGCATGTGCATCTGCCGAGCGCATTGAGTATGAGTTGCGGGTTCAGGCGGGACGGGCCTCTTGGCCTTTTTGGGCGGCGTCTGGCATCTGTCAGGCCATCGGGAGAAGCTCCGAGTCTTGGGATGAGGTCTACCATGGCTGGGAGAGCAGCGCGCTGGACCAAGTATGCCAATGTATCCTTCCCATTAGCAAGCGTCTTGTGCTGTTTGGAGCAAAGTGAGAGGATCGTTCGCCTTCCCTCAATCAAGGTCTCCCTGGGACCTTTTCCAGTCGGGTCCTACGAGTTCATGGTCAGAGCGAGAAATAGTATTGGCCCGGACCCTCGATCTCTTGAAAATAAATCTCAGTATGCAACAGATCCATTTCTGAAAAGTGTTCTTAGTTGGCAAGGTTGGGGTGAGTGGAGCGACGTGGTGGTGGTGACTTTACATGACCCGAAGTGGGAGAAGCAGCAAGGAAGAGAAGCAGAGACACAGGTGAGGATCATACCTGCAACTTGATCCGGATGTTGGCGGTTTGAGCCAGGTGCTTCGCGAGCAAGCCAAGATTGTGTCCCAAGACATGGAAGCAATTCTGGATGAATACGAGGCTCGTGGTACGCTTGCGAATGGATATGCAGACTTTTGGATGGACCTTAAGGATCTACAGCGCGGAAGCAAGCTGACGATTCACCGTGCCTCCAACCTTTTGTTTCGTCTGCAGGCAAGGAAGCAACTCTCCGTCGCATTTTCCTCGTATCCGTGGCAGGAGTTGAAGCGAGCGCGTGCTCGCAGCCATCTTGCCAATCCACAGCTCCTGCGTCAGGCAGTGTTGCTCTCTTTGTACCTTCTTGTCAAGCCATATTTTCATGCTCTGGCGACTGCGCGTACAGATTGATTCTGCAATAAATTACAAGACAGTGGTATCCCAGATTGTTGGTAGTGGATCTGGGATCATTGCTGGATTTCAGGCAGAGTCAACAATGCAAATCCTTGAAAGGCGAGCCGGGTCAGAGTTGTCATTTTGCATGGCCTTGTGCCACAGTCGCCTTCTTTTGCTGTTATTGCTCATGGGCTTGGCGCAGGTGGCGTGACAGAAAGGAAGCATTTACAGAATGGAAGCAGTGCTAGCCTGAGGACGTGTCATGCCATGGCAGCACGTGCTTCCTGTTTGTCAAGGTCACTGCTGGAAATGAGGAACCAGCTCCTGCAGGATCCTGTTTTGGCCATGGCAGAATGGTTGCTACTGCTCAGCAATCAACCGCTGCACTGATGTTGTGATATTCATCGCGTTCTTCACCTGCCTACCCAAGTGCAGGGCACTGTGCACTTGGTCAACACAGTGTCGTAGTCTTCATGTCACAACGCGTTGGCAATCACCTTGTGATGAAGGGCATGTCAAAGGGCTGTGTAAAGAGCAGTTCCGGTCTTCTTTTTTTGCCCTGCCCATTATTGGAGGATACTGAAGATGATGACACGTCAGATTTGGCTGGAACCCAAGATGCTATCAGGACAGCATGTTAGTTTTAGCTGGGCCTGCCCAGGAGAATTTCCTTTCCCAGGATGAGACCTACTTTGGATCGTTGAGCCCGGACATCAGGAAGGGAAACAAGCACTCAAAATGGCCAAGCCAACTTTGAAAAGAGTGCGCCAGGAATTTGATTGTTCAAACGCTGTTGGGCTTGGACTCCAAGCAGGCTGGGAATGAGCAGAGCTGCAGTATCAGTTTCAAGTGGTCGCAGGTGTTCAAAAGGCTGACCATCAGTCAGAAGGACGTTGTGAGAAGACAGCGAAGATGAATCAGACAAAATAGGCAGAGAAGACGCATCCATGAATTTGGGGCAGGACAAGATTCTGCGGGCCCTGCATCGTGGCGTGGAATTTGGCCGAAGCATACTTCCACTGAGACGAACTTAGACGATAGAATCTCACAAGATGCACCCTTTAGACCCGAAGGCCGGACCGACAGGATGATGAAGCTAAGTTCACTCCGCCGGCAGACAGGAGAGAGTTTGTTTGGGTTTTGTTGGTGAAAGGTCTTAGCATGCAGGTCACCTGCAGGTCCGTGTTGCCTTGCATTTGAGATGCTTTTGGCATGTGTCGCCTAGTTTCTCACAATTGTTTGCCTGCAGGAGTCGGGCAGTCTTCACCAAGCACGAATCCTAGATGTATAATATAGACCAAACAGCAAGGCTTTGAGGATGGGTCTTGAGGCATCAGACTGACCAGCTCTCTCGCCTGGCAGAGAAGTTTGCAGTGGCGCGTGCCAAAGCACCGCAGCTGGAAACGCTCGACGCAGGCAGATGTGCAAACATATGATAACATAGCTACATGTGTTTGGCGTTTGCCTTTTTGGAGGTGAATTTGACGTGCGTGAGAGCCGAGAACTCGAGGCGTGATTCCGAGCCGTCGTTAGTCGGAGGTGACATTTATTTTGGAAGCCTGCAAAGCCAGCACTGCTTTTCCCAGATTCGATGCCCCATGTGAATGGCTGAAGCAGGCCGATAACTACTCCAACAGAAACAGGGGGACCTCAGAGTGAAAATGCTGAATTCAAGATTCGTTTGTTTTCTTCGGCGTAGACTTTCGACTGAGTGCACCTAAATCTATGGGCATGGAGTCAAGAAGCACGGCACTTTGCTTCGTGGCTGGAGTTTTGGAACTCAGGGTCGAGCCGCGGCAATCAAGCCAAGTTTTGACACAGATGTCAGATCTGAACCGGCCGTTCAAGAAGTCCAAGAAGACTCTGTTCAAGTGATCCGTGGACCAAGGTCTCCTTCCTTGAAATATGCTTCAATGCTGCGTCAAACATTGAACAACTGAGGGCTTGGAGAGTCACATATTTGCGTATCTGAATCAACCACGGCAAGTCAACAATGACACATTCTGTGAGAGGGGAGACTGGCCAATGAGCGAGAGAAGCCAAACTATTGACCATCATAATTTGGAAGCATCACACCACAATCTGTAAATTCTTAAGACATGACACAAACCAGAGTCGAAGTAGCAAGCATTGGACAAGCTTTGATATTGTACGAGGCAAACCTTATTCTTCAAGGCATGGCGAAATGCAGCCCAATCGCGATAAGCTGCCGCACAAGGGTTGAGGGCATCAAGTCAACCACGGACAAATCCAAGAAGCAAACCATCTACACACTCAGGATCCATGATGCAGAATAAGGAACAATGCAAGAGTCGACAAGTAGCATATCATAGACAGACTACTAGTTTGACATTTTCCATGTGCAATTGCTACTTTTCAATGGTGTGGCAGTTTGGGCTGGACGACGAGATGGACGAGAAAATGTGCTCCATACTACCAGAAGAGGCTGCTCGGCATTCTGTTTGGCGCATGGACTGGTCAGTGCCGATCAGGTTTTGGACACTCAGGCTAAGGCTGGCCAGTTCTTGATTTGCCCCCTGCCAGTTTTCTTCTTGTCCAAATAAGCGATGACAGGAGAAGTCTGGCAAAGCAATGCGCACGCTATACATTTCAGGATTAGCAGCAACCCAGTGGGCTTCCGAGAGCATGCAGCATGCCTTGTCGTATCTTGGAGAATTGTCACTGGAGGCGCCGCGTATCGCGCGATGACTTGGTCAAGGCATTGCGACCCATCGCCGAGGCTGGCTCGACAACTGGGTGTCGTGGGTGTGATATGCTTGTTTGGTGTCGACCGGAAGTTCCTCAGACCATGGGCTTGTTGCTGGTCGCTGGGTGCATGGACCTTGCGCTATAATAGCAGCACCACGGAGTCAGGGCGAACACATGCCACGGTATTCTGATCCCAAACAAGTTCCAAAACAGCGACAAAGCGTCCAACTTTTTGACGTTGACTTGCTTATGTCATAGTGCACTACCATAGCACTTGCGTGTTCCCCGGCATAGAATCCAAATGTCCCAGCATGGCCTTTTCCGGCACAGCATCGAATTGAGCCTGTACTACTGAAGCACAGGCATGCGGTGATGCCAGCGACGGCATGCAACTTCTTTACCCAAATCAAAATTATGGTGGCTTTGATTGTTGGTGTGCCATCGGAAGATGACAACTTAGCACTTACCATATTATTTGCCGACCTCTCTGTGGCGAACTCGTGCGGGAAGGGTGGTCAAAATGAGCGCAGGGTCCTTACTTCTACGGATGCCAGAGTAGCGCGAGTTCCAGCTCTTCTTTACTGGCGTTAGCAGTTCAATAGTTGCGTCAGACACTTTCGGTCTGGATTTGTGACTTGTTGGAGGAGATCAGACTACAGTGTATGATTTTCACGAGTCCACGGTAACGCTAGTAATGTAGAGCAAGGAAAACAGTTATCACCTCAGACGCTTCCGGCGCTAATTTGTGGCTTTTTTGGGTCAGCATAGTAAAAAGGCTACACAGCTGCCTGGTTGTGAAACATTGTGCGGGTGTCGGCGTATCGGCGTAACAGCGTCCAGACAAAGGGCTCGTCCAGCATGTCTTGACATGGCGTACCGGCGTATCGGCGTATCGGCGCGAGGCGGTTTTTAGACATGGTTTGCATCCACACTGAAATATTGCTAATATGAGTCGCAATAAGTTCCAGCATGCAGGAAGGTTGCAGGCACAATGCTCCAAGGACTCAAGGAAGATTCTGGGGTTCTGCGATTTTCCTAAACTTTCCATGGACAAAAGACAAATGCGCGCGACCCGAGTGTTGAACGAACTTCGGCTTTTGCTGAGTCTGGGGCGTTTGGGGATCAAGGCCAGTTCATTCCAGGTGGATGGTGCCAGAGTAGGTGCCGAGGATGCGCCTCAACCTTAGGCATAGGTCTTACACGGCACAAGATTCTTCGTACGGTCAAGGCTGGTGCGATTCTCCAGCCCCGAGCAAGCCAAGAAGGCATTGAACGTGCTGCAGCGAAAAGTTGGCGCCGCAGCACTTTCGACTTGTATCTTGATCACTTCATACACTTCATAAACCTCATAAGGACTGGCTGAGACACGTAGAACTGGCTCCCTCCGACCAACTCTCAGAGGAGGTGGGCATCGACCCGTTCGATCCAGATTGCAAATCGACATGTCAGAGGCCTTGGCTGCGGCCGGGGGCCGCCCGGTGAGGCTCTGGCTTCGCGGCTGTCATTTTCGACTCGTTGTGCTTCGCTGCTCCCGCTTGTTCGTGCTCTTGCAGGCTTGCGAGCCCAGAGCTCCCACAGGTGACGCGCTTTTGCCATTGCTTGCCATCATAGCATCCAGAAAGAACCAATGGAGCAGCAGACTTGCGCGAAAGGCTCAATCCTATCCACAGCGCTGCCCTCAGCAAGTTGTTCGTTTGGGTGCATCAACTTGTGAGAGAACATGAGCTGAGGCCTCTTCAGTCGAGGCAAGCGCCACGACAGGCCCAACCTCAAGCACCTTTGCCTACAGTAGCCAGCTTAGGAAACAGCCGCAGCGCTCAACATTGGCATGCAGTTTTCCTCCATCGAGGTACAGAGTCACCCTTCTGCGCCTGCGAGGAAAGAGGCTCGATCATGTTTCGCTAGCAGCAATCCAAGTCTGTGTGTCATGTTTGAGCTGTTTTCATATCTCGTCTGCATGTGCAGCACGTTGGGCCTACACACACACACACACACACCCGCGCCCGCGCCCGCGCCCGCGCCCGCGCCCGCGCCGCGCCCGCGCCCGC